CCACCCAGTCATTTTGTGGGAGTTATAAGGCCATGGCTAGAAAGGCTGTAGAAAATTAATTCATCTCTGACAAAGGATATCATATTTGGTGAAGGCGAAGGGTTAGCCAAAGCAAGGGAACTGCTCAAGGAGATAGTCTGACATAGTAGCCACAGCAGTGGACTCACACATACCTTTGATCGTGATGATAACATAGAACTGAGCAATATTTTGTTCTGTTATACCTGCCATTGTCCTGAGTGGCCATGAGTTTATACTATATTATAGCAGGATCAGTCAATGTAGTTGGCTATTTATTTATTAATTTTTCTTGCAGGTGATTGGATAGACCCAAGGTTGTGTAGGATAACAATATAGTAGGTGAACAGATAGCTTGGGAGACAATTGATGTTTTTTCTCTTTTAGATTAAAATAAAAAATTAATTTTATTGGGGACTCTTACTGCTGTTATAACAATCCATTTATCAATTGTACCAAGCACACTTGTACATATGTTGCCATCATCATTTTCAAAACATTTTCTTTCAACTTGAGTCCTTGGTATCAGCTCCCCCTTTTTCCCTCTCTCCCCCACCCTTGTGAACCCTTGATAAATGATATATTAATATATTATTATTTTCATATCTTACCCCATCTGCCATCTCCCTTCACCCACGTTTCTGTTATTCATCCTCCTGGGGTGGGGAGGGTTATACATTGATTATTGAGATTGGTTCCACCTTTATCCTCCTCCTCCCCCCACCTTCTCCCAACCGTCATGGTATGGCTACTCCCATAACTGTTCCTGAGGGTTTTATCTGTCCTGGATTCTGTGTGGTCAAAAACTCTTATCTGTACCAGAGTACATGCTCCCATCTAGCCAGATTTGTAAGGTAGAACTGGGGTCATGATAGTGGTGGGGGATGGAGGGAGAAAACATTAAAGAATTAGAGGAATGTTGTATGTTTTGCAGGTGCTATGCTTCACCTTGGCTGACTCGTTCCTTCCTTGTGACCCTTATGTGGGAGGATGTCCAATTGTCTACAGATTGGCTTTGGGTCTCAACTCCGACGCTCCTTGTTCACCTAATATAATTGTTTGTTTTGGATCTTCTGATACCTGAAACCTGATCCCATCAACACCTCGTGATCACACAGGCTGGTGTGCTTCTTCCACGTGGGCTTTGTTGCTTCTCTGCAAGATGGCCTCTTGTTTAACTTTGAGCCTTTAAGACCTCAGACAATATATCTTTTAATAGCCAGGCACCATCAGCTTTCTTCACCACATTTGCTTATGCACCCATTTTGTGTTCGGTGATCATGTTGGAAAAGTGAGTATCACAGAATGCCAGGTTATTAGAACAAAGTGTTCTTGCATGAGGGAGTACTTTTGTAGAGGCCCAATGTCCACCTGCTACCTTAATACTTAACATATAAATATATATACATAGACCTATATCCCTATCATTATATATTAATATATTTACATATATACATTCCTATATTTATACCACTATAAATGCCCTTGCCTCCTAGTTCTTCCCTCTATTTCCTTTTACTTTCCTCCTGTTCCACTTATCATGCTCATAGGTTAAAATTTAACACCTTCTCATTTGTTCTCTCTTTTGACTCATTTTTTAAAAAAAGATAATTTTATTGGGGGACTCTTCCAGCTCTTAAAACAATCTGTACATCAATTGTATCAAGCATATATGTACATATGTTGCCATAATTTTCTAAACATTTACTTTCTATTTGATCCCTTGGTATCAGCTCCTCTTTTTTCTTCCCCCTCCCCACCCTTGTGATCCCATGATAAATTATAAATTATTATTATTTTCATATCTTACACTGACTGCTGTCTCCCTTCCCCTACAGTTTCTGTTGTTCCTCCCCCTGGGATGGGGAATGGTTATGTGTAGATCTTGTGATCCCTTCCCCCTTCCCCTCCTCTCCCCACCTTCCCCCACCCTCCTGGTATCACTACTCCCATTTCTGTTCCAGAGAGGTTTATCTGACCTGAGCTCTTATCTGCACCAGCGGACATGCTCCAGTTGAGGCCAAAGTCAAAGGCAGAACTGGGGTCATGATAGTGGGGAATGAGGAAGTCTCAAGGAACCAGGGGTCTTCTGACTCATTTTAAAATTTGTTCTAGTTTTTATTATCTTCTGCTTTCTATTTGATTGAGGTTTTTCTTTGGGGGTTTGTTGTTGTGTTTCTTTTTTAAATTAAAAGTTCATTGTATTGGGTCCTCTTACAGCTCTTATTATAATCCATACATCAATTGTATCAGGGATATTTGTACATATGTTGCCATCATTCTTTTCTAGATATTTACTTTCTCTTGAGCCTGGTATCAGTTCCTCTTTTTCCCTTCCTCCCCCACAACTGAGATTTTAAGACACAGATCACAAGAACTTGGATTGGTAAACGGGCAATACTGTATAGGGAAATGGCTTAGTTTTTCCCTTGGTCAATTGGCCTTTGTCCTTGTTTCTGTAGAATTAATTACCTTTGGAGTAATTGGGATTTCTTAGTCTGGGACTTTTAGGCCACACCAGAGAACTTGTGCTGAGGGGTAGGAGTTGGCTAGACTAGAAAAGACTAGTCTTTCCTAGGAGTCCAATCAGGAGTTCAAATGATTCATTGCATTGGGTAAATCTGCATAAGACTTTAAAGTGTTAAAAAAGTAGGATGTCACTGTGAGGACTAAGGTATGCCTGACACAAGCCATGGTACTTTCAATAATCCCATATGCATGTAAAAGTTGGACATCAAATAAGGAAGTCCAAAGAAGAACCTATGCATTTGAATTACAGTGCTGGCAAAGAATATTGAAAATACTATGGACTGCCAAAAAGGCCAACAAATCTGTCTTGGAAGAAGTACAGCCATAATACTTCTGAGAGACAAGACATTGTCTCCAGTACTTTAGATATGTTATCAGGAGAGACCAATCCCTGGAGAAAGGACATCATACTTGGTAAAGTAGCAACTCACTGCCATAGAGTTGATGCGACCCTATAAGACAGGGTAGAACTGCCCTCTGTCTGGGACTGACTTTTTATGGGAGTAGAAAGCTCTGTCTTTCTCCCGAGGAGCACCTGGTGGTTTTGAACTGCTGACCTTGGAGATTGCAACCCAAACATAACCACTATGCAAGAGGGCCTATCATGCAGAACTGACCAATGAAAACCCTGAACACAGAGACTCAGAGAGTTTCCTTGTTGAAGAGAACATCTGCTTTAGGGAAGGTAGATAATCTCTTGAGTCAGGGAAGCTCCATGATGGTTTTTCTCCCAGTGTGTCACTGTATCTTTTTTGGCTCTAAGACATCTGCATTTGTATGGTTTGTTCTCAGTGAATTCTGTGAGTTAACTCGGCAGATTAATTAAGCCCAAAGAGGCAGTGGGAGGGAGCCAGTGGGCCTGAATTTGGAACTGCTATCTTGAAAGGGAAGTGGAAAAGCAGCCCGACCTTTATAGCCAGCAGGTTAGAAGATTGGGATGCCAGGAGGATGACCCAAACTTGTAGCTGATGTCTGTGTATTTGGCAATCTGAAGGACAGTGGCTTGTTCATCTGTGAGCCCTGACCTAGCTCCAGGTGGCAATGAGAATTGATAAATGGGAATGTAGGACTGATCCTTACACATAGGCAGATAGAATGTGCCTAAAAGATTGAGTCTGGGGGGGAGAAGGGGTGGGGTGGGTTGTCACGGTGGGACATAGAATGACCTTGACTAGGAAAAGAAGATAGAATTGCTTGATGCCGTGAGGCATCTGGAGAAGATAGGGAGAGGCCTGAAGCCTCTCTTCCTTTAAAGATCTCTTTGTGCTTTTTTTTTGTTTTGAGAACTATATTTCAGGCCAGTGATTCAAAGGAGTGTTTGGTGATGAGGTTGAGGTCATTTGTTTTACTGTGTAAAGAGACATAAATTCCAGTAATCTCTGTAGAGAAGTCAGAAGGAAGAACATGTGGGCTGGCGGGGAAAGCACAGAGCCACTGTAGTGGGCATGAAAAGAAGAGGGGAGGGTACTTGGTCTGAATTGGTCTGTGCTTTGTATAAAGTCTATAGGTGACTAATGACTAATCCAAGATTTCTGAACTGACCTGTGGGGTAATGATTGTCTTTTGATCCTGATTCACTGTCTCTGTGTGTTATCTAAAAAGCAGTATTAGTAGTGGAAAGGTTAACCATGGCTGGTAGTGGGTACTTAAAGCAATTAGGCTTTATATAGTGAAAACCAGCTTGGCTCACAAGTCTTCTGAAGTCTGATGTCTGCAAAGTCCCCACTGTTTGAAGTTTGCTTTGAGGTAGACTGATAAGATTCAGCACCACCATTACTTTAGTAAAATCCAGTTGGTAAATATCCCACTGCCAGTGATTCTTATCATAGTGATCTCTTCTGCTGGGAACCTCATTTCCGCCTCCTATTCGGGTTTACTCAAAATTGGGCACTGAGGCCTTTGTTGCTGCTGTGTCTCCTGGGCCACTTTCACCTTTGGGCTACTAGTTCAGCCTCCGTTTTAGTGCCTACCTCCTTAAGGGAGCTGAAGCCTTTTTTTTTAAAGCTAGTAAGACATTGTCTCATCTCAACTTTGTATTTTCATTATACCTTATGGACCATTGAAGAAAATCTTTAATTTTTCCTTTTAATCCTTTAGAGTTGCTCTGAGTCAGAATCAACTCGATGGCTGTGGGCTTGTTTGTTTTTTTAAAGACAGCAGAGGGAATTGGCATTGCTTGAACAACTAACCAAACCCAAACCAAACCCACTGCCATTGAATTGATTCTGGCTCATGCTAACCCTATATAAGGTTTCCTGTAAATTTTCCTTCCGAGTAGTGGCTGGTGGGTTTGACTTACTGACCTTTACAACCCCACACCTAACTCACCAGGGCTGCGTCTGTTTGCATATGAATCTTTATATGCTTATAGGGAAATACTGATGCCATAGTACCTAAAATGTGTAATGCGATCGATGAACTAAATGTATCTTCTTTCTACTTTAGGTCTGTCCATTTAAGTGGAAATGTAACAGAACTAGCTCTGATGATAAGAACAAAGGACCATCAAGCAGGATTGTGCAGTAGAAATCTTTGCTTCCCAATGAAGGCACCACCATTTAGAATTTCTACTTCTTCTAAGGTATTTGAGGCAAAATTTTACTTGAAAACCTTATTCTTTGAAAGCCATTTTATAATGTTGTTTTCTGTTTTTATGAGTTTCATGAATTTACAAGCATCTTTATTTTACAATAGTTGGCTTTTCAAAGTTACAGCCCCCCCATCCCCACCCCCCACCTCCCACACACAAAGCTGAGAGATATCCAGATTTTTAGTAAAGCATGTTGTTTTGGTACATTTTGCCCCCACCCCCAAATATGTGCTGTAAATCCTAACCACAAGCCCCACCACGGGAGAAAAATGGGGCCTTCTACTCCCTCAAAGAGTTACAGTCTCAAAACCCCACAGGGGACAGTTCTACCCCAACCTGTAGTGTTGCTCCGGGCTGGTATAGACTTGCTGGCAGTGAGTATCAGTGGGTAGAATCCCATTTTGGAATGGGTTGTCTTTGTCTTGCTAATAAGCAGGGTCTGTAAAGGGTATATCTTGAGTTAATCTTTTTTTGATATATAAAAGAGACTTAGCCAGAGCTGAAGGAGAACACCCCAGGAGTAGTGTTCTAAAGTTCAAACTTCTAGCCTCCTAAACAGTGAGAAAATATATTTCTGTTTGTTAAAGCCACCTAGTTGTGGTAATTTTGTTACAGCAGCACTAATTAACTAAAACACATGTCAAGTGTAAGAAATATACTGAGTGCAAGTTGACTGACCCCATTATCTCTGTTAGAAGAACTGGGATATTTAAGCGTTAGTCAACTATCCTGTGTACATCATGACTGTGAGATGAGCAGCAGACATGATACAAGAGAGCTTAGTGATTGTCCTTCAGTTTGACGTGGAAACCTTTTTTATTCTTATAAACTCATTAAGGAGTTCGCTCATACACCCCACTCTGCCCCCAAGAAGGGTCATTTTGATTCTCCTAGACTGTCCCTGAGAAACTTTTGAGATCTGGTAGATTAGTTTCACTTAGAAAAGTGAGAATGAGTGTGTAATTAAAGGGTCAAGTGACGATTCCAGATCATGTAGCAGATCTGATTAGGAAATTAGAAAAGGCTATCTAATTAAAAACAAAAAGAAAATGTACTATCAGCAGAAAGCTTAAAGACTTAATAGCCCTTTACTTTTCTTAAAGCATACATAAATTACAAACAGGATAGTTAGTGTTTATTGAAAACCAAAATATTTATCAAATTTTCATTTTTTTTCCAAATAGGCATGAGGTATGAAAAGGTTTCACTACTTTGGGTGGTTAAGCTAAGGTTGATGAATCTCTGTATGTTATATATTTATAAATAATATCTATCCAGACTATAAAGTAAAAATTAAAGAATATATATCACTTATTATTAAGATTTTTAATTTCACTTGGTTATATTTTGAAATAAGAATGTGTAAAGTAGTACATTCCAAAGTATTAAGAATTCCCTGAATAAGTGGATTACCTCCAAAACGGGCCTGGCATAATTGATCCATCTTTGTCAAAGAAAAATTATGTTAAATAAAAATCAGATGAAAGAATTAGGTTGCTATGGTGAAAGATTTTAAAACTTCAACTAGCAGGTGTGGGTGTTTCTTTTTTTTGGTGGCTTTGAATTTAATGATAATCAAATACACAGTTTGTCTTATCATAACTACTTTGCTTATTCTACAGGATGTCTTTCCTTCTTGTTTTCATTAAACAAGACTAACTGAGTGTCCAAACTTGGCAAAGAATTATTTTAATATATGCCAGAGTTATAAGTAAAGTTAAAGACGTCATTCACTCACATTTTTTCCTGTGGCCCCGGAAGCCTAAAGACAATCATCTGAAACATTTTATGACAGTCATAAAATGAATCGTTAAAAAAAAATCATAGTTTAAAATTGTAAGTAATATAGTTAAGTCCTATAGTCAAACCTCTCCAAAGATAAAGACTAGATAATACTAAGTTCTGATCAGTTGAATTTTCTGATTGTTTGTGATGCTTTCTTTCTCCTTTCCAAATTTGCACAAGATTTATTAAAGTTTTTAAACCAGTTTTATAGACATATAATTCCTGTACCATGTAACACAGTGGTTTGAATATATTAAAAGAGCTGTGTAATCATCCCCACAATCAATTTTAGAACATTTTCTTCATTCCTATATCCATTATTATTAGCTCCCCATTATACCATAATTTCCCCTGCCATAATCCCAAGGATCTATTAATCTAGTTATTATCTCTGTAGAGTCACCTGTCCTGGATTTCATATAAGAAAAATTATACAGGGGAGAAAAGAAAACAAAAACAAGGAGAGCAACAACAAAATAAAACTCTATCAAGAGAAAGCAGACTAGAAACTAGACCAAATTAAAAACGAGTCAAAAGGGAAGCAAATGATCGATCATATGTTAAAATGTAACCTGCCTACGTCTGAGTACTGTAGATACTCGAGTAAAAGCCAACCCTAATATCCACCCAGGCACCCAATTTTAGAATAAAAACTGCATAACAGTGTGCTGAAAAAACACAACTTATACATGAGTTTATACGGCAATCTACTTTCCAGTGCACTGAGCAAGGCTGTTCACATCCCTGGTCAATGGTCTGAGGGAATTCAATGGAGGCTTAATCTGTTTGGGAGACTTTGTAAATGGATTTTGAGCTTTCGCTGTCATCGGTAGCAAACTGGGTGCTCAGAGTTTCAGCTCAAATACAGTTCCTTCCTCTGATCTTGGATTTTATTGTTTAGAATTCTTGGATCACATGAGCTGGTATGCTTCTTCTGCTTGGACTTAGCTGACATCTCACTTAGATAGTTGTAGCGTCCAGGCCTGCGGGACACACGAGCAGGGCCCTGCAGGGAAAGGCGGACCTGGATGGGAGAAAAGAAGACACGGAGACGTGGAGCAAGACAAAACGCTGATCAAACTCCCATTTATTTGGGCAAAGCTGGGGCATATAAAGGGGGACTGGGAGGTGCATATTTTAATAAGGTGTGCGACACAACATCCAATCCAACATGTACATTAATGAAGCATAAGAACGCTAACCAATCAGCTGCAGGTAAAAAAGCGCGCGCTAGTTCTCAAAGACGTCCTGCATGCAGACTAAGGTTCATCAGGCGTAATGCAAAGTCCATCGTAGTCCAATGAGCGCTCGGCATTATTAACCAATGGGTGAAAAGGTCAACTCTTACAACTGCCCGTGCTACAGAGCACTTAGCTAGGAACGTGGAGGTAGGGTTGGGCAGGAATTAGGCAGGGCCAGTCCCCCACAGGTTTAGCAAATGAAAGACACAACACTTAACAACCAGGAAGCTGCCAAGTTCGGCTCCCTGGCTGAGGCTAAGGCCTTAATGGCCACCGGCTCCCAACAGATAGTTGCATGTTTGAAACATGCCTGTAAGACTGCAGATGCTATTCTTTCTCATAGCTGGGCACCATCTGATTTCTTGTGGTTAACTGTGCTTATACTTGTAAAAGCAATATAGATCGTGTTAATTCTTAAATTAAGAATCTCTTACTCTTCTAATATACCTCTCCACTTTTTTGTAAGCATTCACTGTGATATTCCTATTAAAAGTTGTCATTTTGATTTTTTTTAAATGGAGAAAAGCGAAAATGTCGCAGACTAGTGCTCAAAAGAAACGTTTTGATTTTTTTGGGGGGGCAGGAGGGCAGTAATTTCTTCAGAACATTGTAAATTTTGAAACTGAGAAGTTTTATTACAAAACTGGTACTTGAGTTATGCCCCTAAAACATTTGCAAGATTATAGGTCTTGGATCATAGTTCGAATTAAGTTAAAATAGTACCCTTTGAAAGCAGGTTTTACTAAAATACAGTGTAGTCACGGTGTTCTCTAGTAACTTGATACAGTTTTCTGTACTGTGACAGCACAAGCTTTGGTTCTTCTGTTTTTTGTGTTTCTTTGGGAAATGGACTCCATGTTTATGTTTCCTTCTATATTTATTTTGTAGCCTTGCAGTAATAAGTTAAATACATAAAATAATGCTTTCCAGAGTGATATTAATGAATGTTGTTGCTAAAAACAGAGAAGCTTATACCACAGAAGCATCATTCACAGTTACTCTTCTCACAGCAAAAGCAGGTCAATTCACTTCATTAGCAAGGAGCTTGTAAAACCAGTTTCAAAGTTAATGACAAATATTATGCTTGGAGAGAAAGTAAAACGAGCTCGTGGCAAAAATCCCTTATCAAAAGCATACCATCTGGAAAAGCAATTAATGTCACGTGCACATGCTAGCAGATAGTTTGTTTTCAGTTGGATGAAAGCACTGATGTGCAGGGGACACTGCAGCCCTTGATACAGGTGTGCTATTTATCACTGAAAAATCCTTATCACAGAAGAAGAACTCTTAGTTACTGTTGTTTCATTGATAGTTGGTGATTGGTTGCTTTTCAATCCAGGATGCCCTAGAAAAAGTGGCTGTGGTTCAAGCACCAACATCTTGAGGTGCAGGAAAGAGTATATCAGCCTGTATTCCTCACCCCCCTTGTTTCAGAGAGAATAATTGTGAATCATGATTGTTATGTATTATTGATGGAAATAGTAAGAAATGTGGATGTAAGAAATTACTGTCCACTAAAGCCATGCCTTTTCAGTTTTGTGAGAAATGGTTAGCAACTATGTGGTTAGTTGCTATCCAGTTGCCTCCCATTCACTGAGACTGTCTGTATATGTATGCCCTGTCCTGTGCTGCCTTGATGATTATTGGTTTGAGTTCATTGTTGGTGATTATTGTGTCAACCCATCATATTTTGAGTACCTTCTCTCCTGAAGGGTTTATCTTCTAGTGCTAATATCAAGCAATATTCTGGTTAGCAACTATCTCAGATTCTGTTTTTCCACAATAATATGTGGTAAGTCTGGAGAGGAAAGGGCGTACATGTTTATTAGTTTGTCTTTTAGTAAAATAAGATCAATACTTCTTTAGTACTGATCATCTGGTTTCGATGTAGAAAATCTATTTAGTCTTGAATTACCTGAATTTATAGTTTCATGTTCACAGTAACATGGCTTATTTATTTATTTT